ATACATACATACATACATACATACATACATACATGCATGCATACATACATACATACATGAAGAACGAAAAATGAAGCCATACAACCATGGTTTGCGTATGTACATGAAGAGGTATATCTTTTCTACTTTTATAGGTATCCCTGCAGTAATCGTCGTTGTCACTCTTGTCTCGAGTTTTGATGGATACGGCACAAAGAACAGGTACGATATTCGGTAATCGATATTCGGTAGTCAACATGACTTCCCGTAGAGTCAATATAACATCCGGTAGAGTCATTATTACTTCCCGAATAGCCAATATATAACATCCGGTRGAGTCAACATGACATCAGGCAAAGTCAACATGATTTCCCGAATAGTCAATATATAACATCCGGTAGAGTCAATATGACATCAGGCAAAGTCAACATGATTTCCCGAATAGTCAATATATAACATCCGGTAGAGTCAACATGATGTTCGGTAGGCGCAACTTCCCGTCAGAGTCATTATTACTTTCACTACCCGACTAGAGTCAGTATGACTTCCGTTATTATAATATTGTGTAGGATTAACAAGCACTGATGAAGGTCTCTTTAATAAGTGTTTTTCTTTTTGTGCTCTATCCAGCTGTTGGCTGTCTGTGGAGAAGGGCACCATCTGGAGCTTTGTAGTTCCCGTACTTGTCATCGTGTTGGTAAGTTTTTCTTGTTTCTCAATTCCCTCCACCCCCCCCCCCACCCCCTCCCCTCTCTCCTCAACAGAAGAAGATGGTCAAGATCTTGATAACCAAATGCTTACATTGTGTTGGTCTGTGATTCTTTTACAGGTGAATGCCATCATCCTTGCTCTTGTTGTCAGAGAAATCTTAAAACTCTACAACCCCACCCCTGCCGATGAGACCAAACTGCAGTCCGTCAGGTAGGTCGGTCGACGAGGGAGAAAGTCTAAGGCAAAGCGGAAGTACACTGGCTAAAATGCTCGCGAATGGATAATTCGTTGTCATGAAGAGTCAGGATAGCGTGTCGCGGGTAAAACGTTCACCTCTCACCTCTGAGGTCGGGAGTTTCAATCCCAGTCGCTCCATGCGAGCTGAGTTAATTGGTTATCTTTCTGCCTTTTTTTCGGCTCACCGAATCTTCCTTTATCCTCTAAATCAATCCGGACTAATTCAAACTGTATAGAGATAGCGCTGTGCTAAAGGGTCACTCATGCATGGACTGTATAGCGGCTGCCAGAGGCGCCTTTACATGCTTTTTTTACATGCTCATTTTGACCCTTCACTTAGGTCTGGTATCAAGTCCGCTACAGTGCTGCTGCCCATTCTTGGTATTGCTTGGGTGTTCGGCATCCTGGCTGTCAACACCGAAACGATCGTCTTCCAGTACCTGTTTGCTATCTTCAACTCGCTACAGGTTTCTTATATTCGTACAATCTTTCCTTCCATCCAACGCATTCCATCCATTCATCCTTCCATCCATCCATCCATCCATCCATCCATCCATCCATCCATCCATCCATCCATCCATTCATTCATTCAACCATCCATTCATCCTTTCATCTACTATTCATTCATGCATTCATACATTCATTCATTCATTCATTCACTTGCTCATTCACTTAACTTGGTTGCTATTTGCAGAATCAAACTCAAGTTGCGACAGCACTTCAAGTGTTCTATAATCTAGGTTGTCTGTCTGTCACTGTGGAAAATATTGTGGACAACCTCAGAGAAAATCTAAAGTCAAGCATCAAAGATGCTGTTGATGCCAGTAAACTTTCACAGGGAACAGGTAAATTTTTTCTTTTATACATAATTTATTTATCATCATTATCATCTATTGCTGTCGTGGATCAACCACAAAGCATCGACACAACTTTCATCCAGAGTCATCTGTCCTGGGCGGATCGAGGCCTTTTCTGAGTTTGATAAAGAGGATGCATTGTGGTCTAGATTCGGCACAAACAACACCATACAAGGCATGATGTTTGTACTGAAGCTAGACCAAAATTCACCATGTTCGCTATCTCAAAAAAGGTCTATTGCCTCATGAATTTCAATGCCTTATCAAACATTTATTATGAATTATATTTTTTCACTCTTAATCTTTGGTTTTTCTATGACAATTCTGTGGGCTTTTTCTTTTCAGGTCAGACCAATACTGCCACACTAAGAGCAGCATTATGGACACAAATGGAAAAGCTTATGGATGTGATTTATTCATCATGTGCTCAGGTTAGAGAAGATTTAATCAGCACCCCTAACATTTTTTWAACATACTTTTGGAACATACTGAACCAACCTGTATCCAGCATTATTAAGCATATGCGAAAGGTACCCCTCATTTCCAGAGCCTCTACCATGTAAAAGAATTGGTAACATCCACACTCCTCTCAACACAGGAACTCCATTCATACATGTAATGAAAATACTAAGTATATATTACCTTCATGACAGTCCACCCATTCCGTTTTATTTAGGTTTACCATTTGCAGAAGGTGTTGGCCAAAAAGAGAGACCCAGTTACTCATGTCTGCTTCATGGAAGAATTAATTAAGGTAAATGGAACAGTATTAAATGTCGCATTCTCCAAGTAGAGCTGTCGAGATTGGGCAATTTAAAGCAAACAATAGTTTTCATTGTCGACTCATCCTATTGTTTTGTTTATTGTTTCTTATTCATCTATTGTATTCATCCAATAATTGGGTTAGATCTTCCTAGAGCTGCACAAATGGAAACCCATGTTTGTACATGACTTTTTCATTCTTTAGAGGAAAGAGAATACTAGATAATTGACAAGAGTAGGCAGTTGATTCATGACAGTTTGTCTTGTTTATCACTCTCACAGGAAGGAAGCACTTCAGTTAATTCTTTCTGGAAATCAGTCACAGTAATTTTAGCAGATGAGTTTTCCCAAGAAGCTAGAGGTACTTTTTTCATGCTCTTCATTTATTACAGCTGTAAGGGATGGGGGGATCACAGTAACAATATGGTCAAGTTTTAAAAAGATTTCAAAATATGAGATTTTGTACTTTGAAACAGCACACATCTATTGGACATCACTTTGTAAAGCAATTTTTCTGTTTTCTTAACTGCTATTAGTCAGGAAAAGTAAATTTTGTAAGCCTACCTCTGCCATGTTTACTAAATTCAAAGCAATTTCTGATGTTAAAATTGACTTTTTGCAATAGATTGACATGTGATCATTAATGGATAGCAAAAAAAATTGGACTTACTTTATTTAAAGACTTTTTGCTGGATTACTAATTTTTCATGCAAAACCTTTTCAAAAATACTTTTTTCCCCTTATAAGATACTTTCAATTTCAAGATACGAAGCAGTTTAAAGTTTGTTTGCCATCCATCAGAGCCTTCCCCCAGGGACCTTGAGCTGAATTGATGCGTTAGTAAAGTCAAATATCAGCACTTGACTGTTTGTTGCAAAAGGCCTTTTGACTTTTTCAACTATACTTGATTCCACACGTCCTAGAGTCCCCTCTCTTCCCTCCCTCACTGTCACAGAGTCCAAGTCCTGACTGTAATCCCCCTTAGTGAGTATTTGAAATTGGTAAACAATACGCCCAAGCTAAAAAAGTCTATGATATTTTAGATTCCACATTTCTTAAGCAAGCCTTTGAGGGTGAATACCCCAAGGTTCTGAGGCTGTACAATGATTTATGGAGCAGACTTCAACAGTTTGGTACCACCAATACTAACGGGCCTTCGGTAATGGCTGCCAATGAAGTTCAATTTGGGCTCTTCCAGAAAACAGAAAACTATGATTCTAGGTAAGGGTTTCTTTTCTGTGATGCATAGGGAGTCTCTCCCAGAGCTGGAGGGATGAATATTTGCATTTTAATGTGAAAGCTTCCACCAAATTCCAAGGATCCTCAATTTTTTTGCATCTCAGGAATTTTGGGTTATCTCGAAATGTCACAAAATAAAATTTCTCTCGCACATTTTCACGTCAAAAATAAATAAACTGAATTTATTTTTAGAAAAGTTGTTTTTAATGCAATATACTTAGGTGTGGGCCTTTTGGGGCTCAGTCCCCACTTTTTAAGGGTGTTTTTGCAATTTGCACAGGCAGCCATTCCACCTTAATGCAGCTTTGATGACCGCAGCTTCAAACAAAAAGAAAAGGAAACAAATATAACTAATCGACTTTTTCAGCCCTCTCATTCCATTCTGACGCCACTGATATTTCATATCCATTTGTTTTTTTGCAGTCCTGAACAAGCACTGAAGAAAAGTCTATCTCCCTTTGAGAATGCTTACTTGTCACGATCTCTGTCAAGACTATTTGACTCCATTAACTTGGTGTTTCCATCAGGGGCTCGTAATCCTCCACCCAAAGAAGAACTTACTAACATTGCTAGGACAATCGGAAGGTAACAACTTTGAAAGGATGATTTTTACTTTTAAAAAAGTAGATGAAAAACCAGTTTGCTAATTGAGATGTTCCTGAAAAAATATTGGTTAGATAATACTCCTTTCTGTTGGACAGTGAGCTGAACGTGGCTAGTGTAGATGCTGGTCTTACTATCACTGTAGCCAAGAACGTTGCCAAGACGATATCTATGTACACAGCCAAGTGTGAGCAGCTGGTAAGTCATGCAATGTGAAAATATTTTACGCCTTTTTGACCTAATGTTTCCAATTTAATATGTTGGCTCAATAAGAATGAAAAAAGGATTCCCATTACTTTTGTAATTCATATTTTACTGTTCGCTTTGTTTTGTTAACTTTTTAAAGCTGAAACGTCAAGTTCATGTATCCAACATGGCGACTATTCAGCTGATCTGAGAAAAATGTTGGCCAATCAGAATCGAGAAAATTTTCAAAACTGAGGCTTCACTTTTCCTATTGAAATTATAGATTTTCAGGCAAACAAAAAAAAACTGATTATAAGCGCTTAGGCTGCGTTCATAATGCATGGCAGGGGGGGGGGGGGGCATAGAAATTGAGGGGGGATCGGGAAAAGTTTGGTAGGAAAAAGGGGGGGTGGGCAAATTTTTATCAGAAAAATTGGGGGGATGCACAATTTTTGGAAGAAACTACAAGCCTTGCTTAGGGGGATCGTATTTTTTTGCATGATTTTAAGGGGGGTGTTAAGAATTATTCTGGACATTTCAAATTTTCACCTCCCCCCCCTCTGCCATACATTATGAACGCAGCCTTAGTGGCACCATAACCTTTTTTTGCAATGGCAGGCATGTTATTTTTCGCTGGTCAATTTTCGCAGGCTTCTTGACACCATCATTTTGCAGCGGCGGCATTTCTACGTCAGTACACACGCTTCTTGTTTGACACTTTCGTTTCTTTTTTTTTTTTCATTTGCATTAGTTCTCGTCTTACAACAATGTTTTTTAAGAACATATTTTTTATTTCGGAATATGCAAAATGGCATGGCTCGGTTAGAGGAGCTTAGCAAAAAGCTTTTTATTGGGTCGTCAAACACCACGGTTATGACGTCACAATCAAACCCAATGATATCGATTCGACAAAAGGATAGTTTTTGACTTCCAACATTTTGATAGATGTGTTGATCAACATTTTATCATCAATCTTTATTATCGAGTTGTTTTATTGCGTCTTCATTTGACGCTGCTGTCATTTCATTATTTGTCCACGTGCTATCACGTGATTTATTCATCCTATCAGGATCTTCGGTTTCTGTTTTCTTATGGTTACCTAGGATACCGGCGCCATTTATTTCTGTTCGGGAGTCCTTCGTAGGATGATCGGAGCCCTTCGTAGGATGATCGGAATTGTTCACATCTCGTGAGGTGTGAATACTGTTACTGTTTGTTCGATCTACCATTAAAATACACGAGTTTGTATCTAAGTCGATACCCAGACTCGTGGGACCAAAGGCCATCGAAATACTCCTGTACCTGACGTTATTCGTTAAAGCGTTTACGTGCTCTTGCACGTAATCTTCGTTGCTAAGGCCCACGTGGGTGTGTGACGGATTTAAACTAGTTGAGGTCGTCGATATTGTGTCCTCAAAAACTGAATACGCCTCTCGTTGCGGGCTGACTGTATTACCTGAAGTGTTTTCCACGTTAGTGTTGCAAAGCAGTTCTTTGAAATTAAGAAAACATTGTTTGGTGCTGCAGTCGTAAGAAGGCTTGTTTGGGTTCATTTGATTGATATGATATTTTCCTACGAAGAAAGATAAATTTTGTAGTTAAAGGGTTAAATATCAGGAACAGGTCAGGGATAGCATATTGCTATTTAGTGCTACCCTCAGTAAATAAAGAGTTTATTATTGTTATTTATTATTATGCAAAGATTTAAGAAGAATTTATGCATGAGAAATAGACTGAGAGGTGAAGAATACATTGAGAAGCTAGACCCAGCACCTCAACAACCAACTGACCTGAAGAGATGGAAAAAAAAGAAAGATGAGCAGCAATAGGGGTTCAGACAGAAGTTGGACGTCCATTTCTATGATCTACATACAAGAAAAGAGAGAAAGAATAACACATAACAGGACTGAGTAGCATGTTCGAACTTTCAAGAGACGGCACGGTTGCTGTTGAATATTTATCTTACCGTAATGTTACACCGTTTTGGTCATGGGCTGGATCCCCGTTCTCAAGAATGTAACAGAAAATATGACGTYATTAAAGATGGCGGCAGTGACGTCACAACTCACCTTTTTTGCTCATATAAGCCGATTTGATTTGTTTAGTCGCACTGCTGATCGATGTAAATACGCTAGAGACGAGCGAAAGACCAAGTCCTATGAACATTAACCTCACGCACCACATGACTCGTTCATAGGTCGATTTGGGCTCCTTGCCTTCATTCGGTACCAGGTCCCCAAATCCAATAGTGCTCAAAGCYACGAACGTGTAATAAACACTATCCAAAAAGGACCAGCCTTTTTCTCTCTCCGAAAAGTAGTACATTATCCCTCCAATGGGAAGGATTAAGATCATTAGAACTACGCTGAGGATAAAAGTCTTGATGTGTTCGTGACGAACTGTGCTGTTCTTGAAGAGTTTTTTCTCCACACACGTGATCAGGCAATGAAAACAAAGATTAATGTGTTCGCCAATAGACTGAAGTGTTAAGAGGTTGATTGGAATTCCAAAGAATGCGAAAAATATCAAAAACAATCGGCCAGGCTGTGTCTTGGGTGCCAAGTGGCCATACCCTAAGAAAACACAAGAAAATTAGAACATTTAATCATCACTTAAAACGCGGAATTTCGTTTGCAGAGCCGGCATTGGTCTTGAACAGCTGAGAACGGTTTGTCGGTGCTGAACACGAATAACGCACGCTCTGGGAAAGAGATTGGTTATGAGCCACGGAGTGAACATGCGTCCCTTTTGGGCTCCGCTGGACTAGAAAAGGGAAAATAATTTAAGAAGTTGTTTAACATTTAAGTTTGCAATTACCGATGAAGAACCCAAGAACGCAGCGAGATAAAAGGAAAACGCGGACGATTTCTTAGTTTTCATGCGGCTTTCAAGTTTTGATTTCATTATTAACGAGAGACCCCTTGGAAAAGGAAGTACCTGGGGGCGCTTATTGAGTGCATTTGGCTTAATTGATTTTTACTTTTGTTTCTTGCGAATATTATTTCATCTTCAAAATACTAAAGGTAATGAATGTTCAGTGCTGAAAGCCTCTCCGGCTATAGCTTATAAAGTACCCAATGGAATAGTTTATCCACTATAAACTTAGCAACACCATTGCAAACGCGACCAAAATTAATCAGAACCAGTGGTCTGTTCAAGAAAGATGCCCGAAGGGGAAAAAACGATCAGTGACTGAGCGAAGTCGAGATGGAAWGAAAMWAAAAAGSGGGYTTTTTTTTTTTTTTTTTTTTTTGCCTCGCGCCGTCGTCTTCATGACTGGCGTTGTCATTAAGACGTCAAGAAGTTACAAATGATGATGTCCTGATGAAGACAATGGGGCGTGCATGAAAAAATATATTGGTAGCGCCGCCGTCGTTATGAGAATTAAGCGTCATCTTTGCTGAATATGTCTGAGTCTTGGAAGCTGTCAGTCTAGGAATCTAGGAACGGTTTAAATATTATAAAATACGAGGGGAAGGCGAATCATATGAATAAATTGGATAGCTAAAACAAACCACGGCCGCGAAAGTACTTTCTGTACATACGTCATTAACTTTTTATCTCATTAAATTATTTGTATGTCTTACAAGTCTCTTGGCAACTAAAGGTTACTAGATATTACTTGATTAATGTAGTTCTCAATTAATCTTAACTTTTCTTCTTAAGGCAATATTTTTTATCGGGTTAGCCACGAGTCGGTATGCCAACGGACTAAAGAGTTAGTAAGAATACTTTTTCATTTTTTAACGACTTTTTTAACGATTTTTTAACGACTAATTTAAGTAAACAGAGCCTTTGTAATAAAGTCACCCGTTTTGGCGTGTCAGATTTCACAGTATAGCAAACACGCAGGGACTTGTGGTATTTGTTGGATACATATGAAGCCGGGGTGCATGCTGGTGTTGATTGGGCACCCTCTCAAGACATTTTTAAAGCTATACGGAAATTTACACACAGGTTCCCCGCATCCCTCTTCCCGATATATTAACTTGTAGAAGCATAGTTTCACTGTCGGCAAACTTAATGGATAGTAATTCCAGAATTTTTTAAACCTGTGCGGGATTTCACCCCGGGACACTCCTCTAGAGATACTAGAAGGATTTCTTACCTATAGTGGTAGTCACACTGCCGACAAAGTACAGCGATTGGTAATAACTCCAGTCATTATGGCTGTATTTACACCTGTGAGACGCCTCAAACATCGCACACAAATCTTCCACGATCTTTCGAACTTCCTTCATTGAGACATTAAATTTCTTGGCCATTTCTAGTTCCACTTCTGAATCTCCTTCATTGTGACAAAAGTTTTTCTCGTCTTCATTGCCCGACTCTATAACGTGGAATACCGCCGCACCAGTCGTAGTGTATATTCCTAAGAGTAATAGTCTGTAAAGAAGAGTCTTTGTTCGTTTCTGTAATTTAAGGAAGCGTTTTGAGCTGGCTGTGTTTTGAGCCGGGCCCGAACTGCTACGAAGGACATTGTGTGGGTCGGCTTCATTTCCTGTCATTTGTTGAATGGTACTCGCTCGACCTGTAAATATAAGAGGAACCATTTGTTTACATGATGTATTCATATCTATTTAAATACTTTTTTTTTCCATGAAAAAGGCCCCTGTATTGACCCTTTGTATGTGACGTTAAAGCAGCTCATAAGCTTGAAGCGAGATGACGTTTTACCCCCGTCTCTAGACCATAATCCTTTTCACATTGCTTTTGTTCTTTAATTATGACTATTGTTCCTGTATTCTCTAAGGAATCAAAAATTTTAATATGAAAGAATTTTAAAAACTATTATGGTATAGAGTCGGGGGTAAAACGTCATCTTGCTTCAGGCTTATTTGGAGGACAAAACAAAAGAATTTCAAAACCTCCTGAAAACTAGAAACCTATTGTTATGTCCTACAAATTGAGCTACATTTCGTCGTGCTGTAAGGGCTGTTGACACGGCTCACATGCCAATAGCCAATGTGCACGAGCACGAATTTCTAGCACAAAGCATGGTGGGAAACCGAGTACTTACGGATTTTCAGCTCCTCTAAAAATCCTCTGACAATTTTTCCTCCGACATTTTCTACGAAACTGTAAGTATTTCAACAGACGAAAATAAAAGAGTAATTTTTCCCTGATAATTCTATTGATTTCTTTGTTCTAATTTGTGTAGTACTCGGTTTCCCATCATGCTTTGTGCTAGAGATTCGTGCTTGTGCACATTGGCTATTCCCAATTTCCTCCAGAACCAACTAAGAACCCCTGCTTTAGTAATCTACTTGAAGGGAAAAGAATACGAATAACATCATAAATGACCAAAATGAATAATGATTACTGACGCACATATATCATTCTAGCTCCCAAGTGCACCRGAAGCCAGTCAAGTGCGTGGTCAGGTGTCTAGCGGGCAACAGAGAAGCGCTGCAACTGTAAACAGTCTTTTTCAGTTGTATCAAGCTGTTTCCAAGGTGACCAAATTTTATTGATTCTCATCATATATTATTATCATCATCATCATATATCATCATCATCATCACCATCACCATCATCCAATTTTATCATCGTCATCATCATATATTATCATCATCATCATATTATTATTATTGAAAAGTATACAAATAAAGAAAAAAGAAAAAAGTTAAGAAATCATTTTAGACTTTAATAAGAAACATTACGTCAGAAAATATTTTGTAACAGATGAGAATATGTGGACCGCGTAGCACTTATGAAATACAAGATATAGAAATATAGATAAGTTATAGTGCTTGGGAACGAGGTTATTCCGGGCGAAAGACCCTTGGAAATAAATTCGGAAAAATTAATTTCTGACCTTCCGACCTTGTAGTACCGATGCTCTACCAGCTGAGCTAGAGGTCAGACTGAGAGCAGTCCGGGGTGAAATAGATGTATGGTCACGGTATTTCTATATCTTGTATTTTGTAACACAGGAACGTTAGCAATCTCGTACCCAGAGCCTTCATTTCTTACTGCTTATGCTCGACATAACGATAAAGGGTCTGCATGTGCATGAGATTGGAACGTTAGCAAAACATTGACTTGCACAGACKCACATTTTATATTCCCACCAACATCGAACTGTCAACCTAAAACATTGTCTTTTTTCGTCTTAGATTGTMGATGGTTTGAAAAATCCCCCAGACATAGCTGTAGACGCAGTACAGGCAGCTTTAGAGGTAAGCAAAGCTTCGTGTGCATATTTTCAAACTTTATAGAATATTTTTAACGTTTTCTTCTCCGGCATCCTACTTATGTGATTAACGAGGAATGCTGCACTGCGCTTGCTCGAAAAAATGGCGGATGCGAAAAGCGGACGCGCGAAATGATTCTGCTTRTTATTTTTACTTTTCGACGTTCAAAAACGCATTAGCAAGGTTTTTTCTAGGAAGCTGTATTGTCGACGAAGGTTTTGGTGTTTTTTTAATACTAAAAAAAATCTTATTTTTGCGAAGATCCTTTTCCGTCAGCGGCTTTCCATATTCACGCTCCGTGCTTAGATAATTTTTCAAGTATACCCTTCTTATGGGTTCATAGAAAAGACATTTAACAGTCACGCGAAATCAGGTCTGACAAAACCAAGTTTACGTTGTAGCCTATGGTAATAGGCTTACGTTAAATGATAAAGAACAACTTRTGTCTATTGCTATGACAACCTTTCATTTAGCTCAACCATGAATAAATTAACTTGATCGATAAGCTCGTGTGTGTGTGTTTTTTTCTTTCTTTTTATGACATATTCTACATATAGGCATTAGACAAAACAAACCCTAACAGTACATTTGTATGTAGCTTTGCATTTCTTTCTCTGGATGTCTAATTACCTCAATAAGCTAAAAATTACGATAAAAAAAGAAGTTAATTGGAGAAAAAACTATTAGTTTTTGTTTGTGCAATTATGTGCTTGGGTTTGAGCTTTATATTTTCAAAGCCTAAGAATTAAATTTTTGTTGTATTTGCTTTTCGAAAACTGTTAATTTTCAGCTATAGCGCTAGCCGATTTAAAACTATAGCCGATTTAAAACTATACCGCAGTCCGTGACATTCATAAATATYCCATTTTTTAACTCTCTAACAACCGATATTTCACGCATTCATTAATGATTTAYAAAAATTGCTGCAATTTTCGACTTACGCTAGAAAAATCGTCACAAATCCTTTGAAAAAATTTCGGTTTTTTGTTTTCTATCCAATGCTACATAACGTGATAAACRACCCCAAACACAGACTAGAATTTTCTTTTTCCAAAACATCACGTTATCATTCAATTTTGAGTCGTCTAGTTTTCAATTCATTAGTTTTTGCCATAAAAACTTCAAATACAAAAACAGGAAATACATTTTTGAGCTTAAGTGTCGAATAACTTAGGACTAATAACATTTACTAGAATATTTCTCTTCAAATTTCATTTTTCCTACCTACCAGCTCATCTAGTCTTTCAAGAACTCGTCACATTGACTATTTTGGCAATTTAAAGAGTTTAACAGTCAGAGCTGCTTAATTATTTTCTTACTACAATGACGTTCTACGGGCTGCAACATTATAGCAACCCTGAAATCCATTATCAAAAAAAAACCCTTACTCGAATCATAATATTTGTGCGTTTTACCTTAAACTCACTTCATATCTACTTTATGAGAACCGGTGATTTTTCTCGCGTGTCCGCGTCATTCGTCTTTTTCTTTTCCTCATAATTACCAATTACATTA